ACAGAACTTGGAGTAGCTCTGTAACAACTATTAATAATAGCTATTGCAAGTTATGTAAAAGTTAGTGCATAACTCATAGCAAGAGGATGCTGGTGACATTTTAAGAAATTGTACCCACATCTTGAACTGTGCAAAGAAGTTTCTCCAACAGCAATGTAGTTTTAGCTGGAGTTTCATGGCAACATGGTTGAAGGTATAAGAGGCTTGGGGAGCCCCACAGTTGGGATTTTCTTGAGATTTAGTAGGCCCTCACTCATGTCATAATATTGTCATCTCTGGCTTGAGGCCCCCAGAGAAGTGGTTAGACTTAGCATGACACGTTCACTGAGGCCAGGGAGCCCCATTCTCGGGGTATTCTGTGCATAGTGTTTCCTGGAATTTGCCACAAAGCCACCCTGAACATGCCCAGTTAGAGGTCTCCCGGTCTGCTTTGCTGAGAATGGACTCTTTCAAATGTAACTTCCACAAGGTTGTGTCAGAAGGCTTATCGTCACCCAGCCCCCTGGTGAGCTACTTTGCCATTCCAAATTTGCCAGTATGAGACTATTTTGTTATGGTTTTTTGAGGCCAAGGAAGCATGGGAACTACCAAAAGGGAAGAAATGCACCCGATCTCAAGTCAGCCTGGAAGGGGGGTTCATGCTGGGACAGGATCTGAGCTGGGCTTTGGTGCCAGGGAGAAGAGACTTCTCCCTCTCTCAGGGCCCAGGAGGATTTGGACTCTGGACTCTGGCTTAGGGAGCATTGGAACAGGTCTGAAGTGGGGGGAGTTGCCCCTAGCCACCCAAACGCAGGCTACAAATGGCGTGGTTTTGGAGCAGCGACACCAGGAAATGGCTAGTTTCTGCAGCAGCCACTGCTTGGGGTGGCGGTTGGGTGCCCCCAGCCTCGAGGGAGGGAACGTATCAACAGGCAGGCTTTCTCCATTAGAGGAATCTTGGAGTCTCACTGTGCTCTGGGAGCTGGCGTGTCAGCCAAGCTTTCTCACAGCTTCCTTCACCTTTTCTTCAGTCTCAGCAACCCTTTTAGCACATTAGGTTCGCAACTGCGGAAAAGGTGTCCCGTTTGAAGAACGTGGTGATGGGCCAATTGCTGCCCTCCACCCCAGCTATGCCTCTGGGAGTGGGCGGTAGGAGGGACATTTTGGGGAGGGCTAATTTCACCAACTAGGTCATCAGCACAGTTTGTGAGACTCCTCTCTTAGGCTCTAATGGAGAGAGTCAGGGCTGTGGATTTGGCAAAGGCAAAGTTCTGCCAGTGACCCCAAAGTAGCCCAGCCACGGTAATGCGCACGCCCTCCACCTGGAGGGCTGCTAAAACGCAGACTCTGATTCACCAGGTCTGGGGTGGGGCCTGAGGTCCTGCCCTGCTGCTGCTGGGGCTTTAGC